GCTTGAATCTGGGGGCCTGGAACGGATTAGGCATTTTCAATGTTAAATCTGCTTCTACTTACGAAATTTTCTACTTAGGAAATGGGATGTGGAACGGATTAATTTCGTAAGTAGAGGTACCACTGTACTTGTGTTGGAGGACCTACAAATGGCTAGAGAGGTATACTAAGAATCTCTAGGTTCTCCAGCACAAAATCTTGCTGATGTTGGCCATAGAGTTGCACTGGAGGGCCTAGAAATTCCTAGAAAGAACATATTAATATAATTTGTGAATAATCAAATCCGCAAAAGTCAAAGCCGCAAATGTGGAGGGCCGACAGTAAATTAATTATCACAGGATTTGCTACAATAAATCAAACATTATGAAATAAATGTAGACAACTTATATACAATCGCAGCCAAAGTGCAATGCTGCCAATACATCACAGTATAGCTTTAAAAATCACAATTGGTACAGAAGCCCGCAAATGTCTTCCAATCCTTTATGTACTGTACTTTGTTGACTTGAGGTTTTGTATTTCACTGTCGGTTTTGGCAAGGATTCATAGGTTTGTCCTTAAGTCAACACCAGTTCCAGCTGAACACTTCTTGTCATCACGTCTGCATTCATAGGTTCAGGACACACTGGATGCATTGGATGCAAAGTTGATATTTCAGCTGATGAAAGCAACAGCTCTGCACCAGGTATTGAAGGAGATCCATTCCATGTGAGAAAGCCATTGCCTTGCATGTGACTGTTTCTGATGTTACCATCATCCTTTGCTTTTTGGCAAGCATCATGAGGGAAATACTTTGCTTCTGCCTGATTTTGTCTTTCTTATGGGAACAGATGGTGAACGCTTATAAATATATGAGTGGTATTTTCTTAGTGACTCATCATGCATCGAAGCAAAGAGCCTCAGACTGTTCCAGGCAGCCAACCAAGATGGACGTAAGCATACTTGAAGAGCAATACGACTGTCTGAAACAGAAGCAAAAGCAGCAGACACACATTATTATATTTAAAACAGGTATGTTTTAGACTTATAGACTGAAGCTTTTAAACTCAGGAATTCTTTTAAATCTTCACCCATTTTAAAAACCGCATTAAGCTTATACACACATACATAACAAAATTAAAACAAAGTTCAAAGTACTGTATGTTGCTTTCACAATAAATAGTCTCATGGCACATGAAAGACTCACGGATATACTGTAGCATACACTATACATCTGGTCTTTAAGGTGCCTTAAGACACGCAATTGTGTCTGCTGTAACAGATAAACAGCCCAGCCTCTCTGTATGCTTACTCAGGAGAAAGTCCTACAATGTTAAATGGACCTTACTTCCTGGTAAGTGTACATGAGACTGCAGGTTGACACAACTATTTTATAGAATTGTTGTCAAACCACTAAATGCCATCTCATACTCTAACAATACACTTGATGGGGTGTGGGGTTAATGTCTTTTAAGGTAAATATGCTCTGTAAAATAGTTGTGAAATGTAGGTCTTTGCATAAAACTCCAGATTCAGTCTAGACTATATATATATAAAAAAAAAAAACTAGTAGCAAATACCTTTACTAGGACCCAAAGGAGCAAGTGTTTTTAGTTCTCCAGAACTCTTTTTAAAGAAGCAAAACAAGAAAAAAGGAGAGAGAAAAGGAAAAGCTGAGCGTAATAAAAGTCACCTGTGTTTGAAATTGTACATTCTTAATTAAATGAAAAGACATTAGGTGCAAAGCAGATTTCATGTTGCACCAAGCTCTAACATGGAAAATGTAACAACAATAGTTTTCTCCCTATATTTTGAAAATACCCCCAAAGAAAGCCAGCAGTAAATTTAATTTGTCTCCAACAGTAAGTGAAAAAAGCAGGTTAATCTTATTGATGTGGTGGGTTGAATCTTTTCTGGTTTAGGACCATTACATAGAGAATGTTGGGTTAGTTTCTGAAAGGAAGGCATACAAAGAATAGATGATCTTAACTTTTCTTACACTAACTGCTTCTGGTTAAAGACTTTACCTTTTTAGTGACAAAAGATCTGCTATTTTGGAAGAAAGCACTCCATTAAACTTTGAAGTCAAGATTCTCAGCACATTTAATTGGGTATATAGTCTAACACAGTGGGGATCACATCCAGAATTTGGAAAAAAGACTTTTAAGAATTATTTATAACACCTGGAAGCAAAGATAAGAACTTTAGTACTGAAGGGTCAATGCATTTAGTTAATAGGCTTTTTTAAAAAAATCTAAAACACATTAATATTAGCAGAGGAGCAATGGAAGTATTATATTTATGTTAAATTGCCATTTCAACATAAGTTAAATGCTTATACTAGAAGCAATTTGAAAAATACCATCCACGGTTTTAAACTCCTTCCCCATCATCCACCCTTCTGTGTTTTGATTTTTGAGAGAAGATGCATTAATTTTTGAAAACCCAATTTTTCATCCACACTAAAACCCCTTCTCCTTTCCTCCCCACAGTGTGGGTGGGAGATCTAATACTTCTGAGGTTTGAGACTAGCAGAATGACTGAACAAATTGGATCCACTAGTTCACCTGGTTCTACCCACCTTTCTTTAACTTGCTGATTCCTAAGTAGATCCCAGAAAAAATTCCAGGATTAAAAGCTTGAAATTTAGTTTCCTGGGACCAATGGGAAGCAGTGTCTGGTACAAAACACAAGAGGATCATCTGGATGCAAAGAACATGACTGACCTTCCAAGGTGCCTTCACTGCCTATGGGTTTAAAATATTTTATCTGGGAGTTAATGAAACTATCACACTCTTATCATGAACTAAGATAAGCAATTTGAATTTTGTAGTCTAAATCTTGTAATTACCCTATCCTGGGGATTTACAAAACAGTATAGATCCAAGAGAATTAAACTACATGAGAAGAACAAGTGTAACAAATGCCATCTCAACACTATTTGTATGACTCACAGAGTACTATAAATAAGTACCCTCTGAAGCACTATTTTGTATTTAACATCATCTGTCTTCCAGATCACCATCACTACTTCATATCTAGCTCTTCACATTTCTGCAAATTCAGATTCTACCCACATGTCTGAGAGCAATTGATAATCTTCTAGGATGCTATCAATGTAGCATTTATTGGTAATCATATCTGTAGTCAGTAGTTATGACAGGTAGCAATCCTACTGACATTTCTTTGTGTGAGTTGTTACTCAAAGTAACAGTAAACTGATACCCAAAGAACAGGTGGGGGAGGGAATTGGAGGTCATCAATTGTCAGTGGTACTTCAATTGTGGGGGAAAAAGCTTTTGCAAAAGTTTTGGGTAACCTTTGGACAGTGTGTACCAGTTTATACCAGTAGTAACTGAGGACTCCAGATTATGGGTGAATTAAAGTTTTATTTAGAAAAATGCAGAGTGCAAAC